ATAGAGAAGGGCAACCAAGCTGATAAGAGGCCTGTAGGAGATCAGTTATGAGGAAAGATTAGAGGAACTGAATTTATTCTCCTGAGGTCATCACAGAGGACAAGGGGGGTACTCTTTGTCTGGAGGAAAATAAATGTAATCTCCAAACACGGAAAGGTTTCTTCACAGTAAGAGCTGTGAAAATATGGAATAGAGTCCCTCGAGTTGGTTCTGGCCAACTCAGTGGATTGCTTTAAAAAGGCCTGGATTGTTTCTTACTTGACTGTTTTACCAACGCTTGCCAAACGCCCCTATAGTGTTTGGCATGCGTTGGTCCGGCGTTTGCGGAGCGTTTTTTAACGCTCGGCAAACGCTGCATGCGTGGTTTAGCGGCGGTTGCTATGCGTTTGACGAGCGTTAAAAACGCCCCACAAGCGCCTATAATGAAGTTTAAATGGTGTTACCGCTCCGCAAACGCCCCACAACCGCGTCGCAAATGCCGGGCGTTTGCGGAGCGGCACCATAGACTAGAATAGGAGGCTTCAACGCCTCCTGACTCAACCAGAGGCGTCCATTTTGCTGCGACGCTAACGCTCCCGTTAGAACAGCACCATGTGCTGCAGTGTGCTGAATTGTCCGAGGCATTTGGGAAGCGGTAAAACGCTTCCCAAACGCCTCTCTGCCGCCTGCACACAACGCTAGTGTGAACGTAGCCTTAGATACACAGAATATAACTGGATACTTACATTTATAGGTAAAGTTAATACAGGGAACATCCAATTGCCTCTCGGGGGTTCAGGAAGAAATTTTTTCTCCTGCAGTAGCAAATTGGATCATGCTTTGCTGAGTTTTTTTAGCCTTCCTCTGGATCAACTGTAGGTGTAGGATTATAACTTTTTTTTGTTTTTAATGGTTGAGCTGGATGGACTTTTGCCTTTTTTCAGCCAGACTAACTATGTAACTATGTTTTTACAATACTTATCCGCTTACCTTGCTATATTTTGAAGACTGTATTACATGTACACTGCTGTAGATTCTATTAATATCACAGTGTTCATCACAGCCTTCAGGGTTGTCTTCAGGGACCACCAGCATATCATGGTGTCCTGATCTTTTTTTTTTTTTTTTTATAAATCAAAGTGAGAATAGTTACTGTACATACACCTGGACTTCTGGGAAATACTGTTCTGGTAGTCCCAGTGATTTGTGAAGCATCGTGAAAATACTGGCCCAATTGCGTTCTACTGAACAGTTGACATAACAGGATAAGCCAATGAGAGACTATTGATTTTAATTAGTCACAACAGACTGGTAGATTTCATGGAGAGGGAAACTGAGGAACCCTCATCATATTGTACAGCTAAGGTAAAAACTGTGTATGTAATGAGCAAATAAAGTAGCGAAAATAATTATTTGATCCCCTGCAGATTTTGTACGTTTGCCCACTTACAAAGAAATGAAGGGTCTATAATTTTTATCATAGGTGTATTTTAAATGATAGACACAGAATGTCAACCAAAAATCCAGAAAAAAACACATGATTCAAATGTTATAAATTGAGTTTCAGTTCAGTGAGTAAAATAAGTATTTGATCCCTTACCAACCATCCAACATTAATTCTGACTCCCACAGACTGGCTATGTGCTCATGTGGTACACAGATTAGTCCTGTCAATGTAAGAAGGCGCACCTAACAACACCTTGTTATGTGTATAAAAGATACCTGTCCACAGAATCTCTCTTCCATTCAAACCTCACCACCATAGGCAAAACCTAATAGCTCATCAGGGACAAGATTATTGTAGACCTGCACAAGGCTGCAATAGGCTACAAGACCATCAGCAAGAAGCTTGGTGAAATAGGAGACAACTGTTGGAGTATTTACTTGCAAATGGAAGAAATACAAAAGAACCGTCAATCTCCCTCGGTCTGGAGCTCCATGCAAGATTTCGCCTCATGGGGTAAGGATGATCATGAGAAAAGTGAGGGATCAGCTCAGAACTACACGGGAGAAGCTTGTGAATGATGTCAAGGCAGTTGGGGCCACAATCAACAAACCATTGGTAATCCAATACGCTGCCATGGTTTGAAATCCTGCAGTGCCCTCAAGGTCCCCCTCCTCAAGAAGGCACATGTACAGGCCTATCTGAATCGTTTAGATGTTCATTGGCAAACTTCAGAGAAGGATTGGGAGAAAGTGCTGTGGTCAGATGAGATCAAAGTTGAGCTGTTTGGCATTAACTCGAATCACTGTGTTTGGAGGAAGAAAAATGCTGACTATGACCCCAAGAACACCATCCTTACAGTCAATCACGGAGGTGGAAACATTATGCTTTGGGGTTGTTTCTCTGCTGAAGGTATACGCTGATGTTGCCGCATTGAGGGGCCAATTGACTGGGCCATATATTGTAAAATCTTGGATGAGAACCTTCTTCCCTCAGCCACTGAATACTGAAGATGGGTCATGGATGGGTCTTCTAGCATGACAATGACATACAACATGCCAGCAAGGCACTGGTATGTTACTCACTTCTGTGAGATACTATATATACCACCATTTGTAGTCGCTATAACTTTCACGCAGCCCAATTAATTTACACGTATTGGGATTTTTTTTTTTAGCAGTGACATGTAGCAGAATACATTTTGGCCTAAATTTATGACACAATTTGACTTTTTAACTTCAGATAAGTTGAGCATCACTCTCCATCCAGCATCCAGGCTCTAAAAGAGGTTCTTGAAGAATGGAAAAAGATTGATGTTGCAGTATGTTGCCAACTTGTTCATTCCATGTCTAGAATACTTGGTGCTTTCTTTACAAATCATGGAGGTCATACAAAATACTAGATGGAGTAGTTTTTGTTGTGGGGTGTATTCATTTTTGCATCAACGTATTTGAGTAAAACTGAAGATTTTGTAATCTAAGTTATATTATTACCCATACTTTCATGTAATGAGCTAAACAAATGTTCTATGAAACTCAGTTTTGTCAAAAGTTTGGAAATTGTTCTTGTGTTCATTGAGATATTGATTAAAATCTTGCTTTTCCAAAGGGATGTACTCATTTATGCTGAGCACTTTATATGCAGCTTCACAGATGTGGGTCTTCTTCCATGGGGCTGCATATAATGTCTTCTGCGTTTTGTGTTTTGGGAGCGCACTCCTAGCACAGGTAGTGAGCTCCCACTGGAAGCCCTAAATCTCGTACTAATGAACAGGAACTGGGATGCCCGGTTCCCGATCACCTGATCACTATGATAGCCTCTGATTGGCTGTCATAGTGATCAGTAACTGGGAAGCCTGCCCCTGTGTTTTTTTTTTTTTTTTCTCCTCTGAATGGAGAGAAAGATACATTGTATTTTTCTCTCCTTGCTAGAGGAGAAAAATGTAAACAAAAGTGTATGTTTAAAAAAAAAAGAAAATGGCTAAATTGAGGTTTGCTCTAAGTCAGTGTTGGGGGGTTAGAATTGGGATCAAGGGTAAGTATATTTTAGGTAGGATTAAAAAAAAATATTGGTGTGAGTGTGTGTTTTAGTTAGGATTTAAAAAGGCAAAATGCAAACAATTTTTTTTCTTGGCCTTGCTACAGGTATAAACAACAAACATACACGCACATATGTGGTATTGTTGCAATTGTCAGGAGCAGAAGAATTTATTTTGACTTGGTGGCAGGTTTTATGGTAATAGCAAGAAATATATAGCTGAATTAAGTTTTTTTTTTTTTATACTAGTTTGGACTAGTTTTCCTTTGAAAATAAATTGGGAGATATCTGTTACCGTTTACCATCAAATAAAAGCCCAATTTGTCCTGAAAAAAAACAAGGTATAATTCACCTTGATACTCAAAGTAGTTGTGTTAATATGTACAATCTTACTAACATGTCTATAGCAGTAATATTGCTACAGGGTCGCACGGGTAAGCAAAATCACGTGTATATGTACGTGATTTTGCATTTCCGGGTAGGGGGCGTGCACGAGCCCTACCCGCGCCGCCATTCTTGGCCACCAGTCACCGGATCCCAGTTGGTGATTATCGAGCATCTCCGACGGGGAGGAAGACTGTTTTTTGTTTACAAAAAGTCTTCCTCCCTGTCACCTCAGGCACACTGCTCGGGATGGCTGTGTATAGCACAGCCATCCCGATCAGTGTGCTTACAGTGAAGCACACCCCCTCCTCCCCCTAGTAAAACACTCCCTACATATCGTTAACCCTTTGATCACCTCTCATGTTAACTCCTTCCTGCCCAGTGTCATTAGTACAGTGTCATGCCAGTGTCAGAATGTCTGCTGCAGTCCTACTAAATGTCGCTGATCGCCTCCCTCACTAGTAGGTAAAAAAAAAAAAAACTCCAAGTATCTATACCGCCATTTGTAAATGCTATAACTTTCACGTAAACCAATTAATTTTCACGTATTGGGATTTTTTTTTTTTTTAGCAAAGACATGTCACAGAATACATTTTGGCCTACATTTATGACGAAATTTGATTTTTTTTTTTTTACATTTTTTTACTGGACATGTTTAATAGCAAAACGTCCAAATACAGTTATTTTTTGTCAAAATTGTTGAATTTTTTTTACTTTTTTAATAGCGCAAAAAATAATAAAAAAACAGGCGACCAAATACCACCTGAAAGAAAGCTCAATTCATGGGGAAATAAGAGACGTAAATTTAATTTGGGTGCAGCGTTGCATGACTGCGCAATTAACACAGTGCCATAGCACAAAAAATGGCCTGGTCAGGAAGGGGGGTAAATCATCATGAGGGTAAGTGGTTAAGGAACATCTGTACTAAGAATAATGTAGGCTGTAGTTGCTGAGCACTTTCTTAAAATGAAGGTTGCTTAACTAACTCTTGAGTACCCAAATATGCCAAATCTAGAGTATAGTCATAACACCTAGTCTTCAGTTTGTTTTAAGTCAAATGCTGATTAGGAATTGCACAGTAATTGAATAATGTATTCTGATTATAAAATTTGCTAAACTGACAGGTGATTTTACTCTTATTTCTATTAAAATATAGGTGTTGACTGTGACATTGACGTACCCAAGACTATTCAGATGGTAAGATCTCAGAGATCAGGAATGGTTCAGACTGAAGCACAGTACAGGTTTATATACATGGCTGTACAGCATTATATAGAAACCTTGCAGCGCAGGATTGAAGAGGAGCAGGTAAGCCTTTCACTGTGTGGCATAACGAAAATAAATGATCTAGGTTTAATGATCTGTAAATTTTTTTGTAAAGGTACACACTTGGGAACTATGTGTAGTGACCGGCAAATCAAACCAGTCCTGGTGGCAGGTGTTCCTTATCTAGATAGTTTGGTATGCCAGAAGTGTCTGGCTTCTGTTCCAGACATCAATACTATGTTTAGGAATTGCAAGTATACTAGTATTCTACAACCAGTCAGATGTTGCATTTCATTTTCTACCACAAACTGCAAGAATTAGTTGCACTCCTCCTAGGGGCATATTTATAAGGCTGTAAATGTGACTTTTGCCAAACATTTAATCACAGTCATTTAAAACACATGCGTCAAGATTAATTTGTAGTGAATGCTTGGTGAATGTCATATTCATTTCTTTGTAGTGGGCCAGGGCCCATTATTCCCAGCAAAATGTGAATATATGTAAGAAATCGAGTTTATATTGCAAATGATGTAAGGGTGTATTTAAAGTTGAGTTTAGGCTATTAGCTCAGTTTTGCAGTTAAAAATTGTTTATCGGGTGGAATCCATGTAGTGTTTTCATTTTTATAGTGCAGGGGTCTCCAAACTTTCTAAACAAAAGGCCTGTTTATTGTCCTTTTAGAGTTTTGAAGGACTGGACTGTGGCCATTGGGAGTTGAAATTGTCCTCGCGTCAGTTGGAGTAAACAATACATCGTTGGAATTAGGGGGAGGAATAGTGCCCCATCATTGGTGTCAGTGGGAAAAATAGTGCCCCATAATTAGTGCCAGTTTGAGGAATGGAGCCCCATAGTTTGTGTTATTGGTAGAACTTGTTCCGCATTGCTAATGTCAGTAGCAGGATTTCTACCCCATTGTTTTTGTCAGTGCATGGAATAGGGTATTGTTTCAATGAGAGGAAAAGAGCCCAATGGCCAGATAACGGCAAGCAAAGGGCCCAGGTTTGGAGGCCACTGTTATAGTGCATTGATTTGACTAAACTTGAGTGCAGATTCTGTGTCTACTTCAAATATAGCTTGTGTACTCGCTAGAGGTGTTAAAAATGCCAAGTGAAAAATTCTGAATTTACTGTAAATCCTTTCCCAGTTTTACTATTTTGGCTAGAATTATTTATTACAGCCAGGTCTTGTACTTTCACTTGTCCAGTATTTGCATGGGGAAAAAGTCAAAGGCTGCTGCCATAATTTTCATTTTCCTCAAGTCACATGAGATCAATAAATGCCTCTGCATCAGTAGTCAGTATAAGCAATAAATGCCTCTGCAACAGTCGTCAGCGGGTGTAAAAAATGCCCTTGCATCAGTGATCAGTTGGAGTAAATAAAATTCCCCGCATCGGTAGTAGTGATAAATGCCTTGGTGTCAGTTACTGGGAGTAATTACCTCTGCATAGGTGAGAGCAATAAATGCCTGGTGTCAGATGTCAGTGGTAGTGATAAATGTCAGTAGTCAGTTTGAGGTTTGAATACCTCTGCCCCAGTGGAAGTAATAAATGCCCTGATGTTAGCCCTTTGTCAGTGGACAGTCGGAAATGGTACCCCATCTTTAGTGTTTAGTAGTACTTTCCTAGTAGCATATTAATGTCCTGTGCTGTTACTGGTATCATTGCCATGGCTGGGGCGATACAGTCACTATTGGTAATGAGATCACTACGCTTTTGCCTATTCTGTGTTAAAGCACCCACTGCCACTCTTTATACAGGGCTTTCTTATTGCAAAGGCAAGTCTATGGCAACCACAACCATCTTGCTAAATGCAAATGATTCAATATTTCATAAATTGGTCTGCATGTAATTTGAATCCATTCTATTCTCTGTAGTGGGAGAAAGGAGGTTTGTTTGTTACAGTTTACTTCAAAAAATGTATACAGAATGAAATAAGCTGCATTTTCTTTAAACCAACAACATTTTTAAATGCCTCTCCTCATCCCTAGAACAGGACATTTCCTCTGTGTATACCTATGACTTGGCAATGACAATGATGGGTGGAACAAAGATTTTCTTTAGAAATCCATATAAATAACAGAGAGAACCACAGGTGAAGGTGGGGTAACTCAGTTGATAAATCTCTGACTCACCTAATAAATAATGGTGTGGGTGCTGAACCCTAAAAACTAAAAAAGATATTCCACAGCTGTAGAGAACAGACTGCTAGAAATAGGTAATTAATCACCCATGCAGAGTAGCTAATTGAAAAAAGATATGCAAAACTGTATTGTTAATTCATCTATAAAATTGCAAAAGGAGTATTGGTGATGCCTTCCAATCATGAACTCACATAAATGTCAGCCAAAGAAAACAATTGAAAAATGCAGTTTCTTTAGAAATACTAGCAATGTGGACAAGTTTGTAGGCAGTGACATTGGGAGCAGATGACTCTGTCATCCTTGTATTGAAGTGTATCAGGCAGCAGTTTAATCATACCAGTGCTGACATACCACCAACACATCTAGCAGGCTGATTGTGCAGTATAATGTTTGCCCAATAGTGTTTGTGTACCTGCCCAAAATTCCACTATTGACGCACCCACATCATTGTTTCATTGCATGGGGGCTGGGAAAGGTACAGCAGGGCAGATAGCCAGTCTTTTCCACTGATTTTTCACAATGCTTTCTTTGTCCTGGGGCTGTTGGGAGTAGGGTGGAGAGAGGTGGAGTAAACCCATTCAGCATTAGCCGCTATGATCCTACCGCTGATGACAACCCTAACATGGTGATGCTGGCGCTACCTTATGAGAAATACTCGAGGGCAGAAAAAAAAATGTCTGGTCACTTAGCACAGTAGGCTGGAGTGACCAGTCTGCACAAGAGAAAATGGCAGCTGTTCTGAAGATTTTTTTTTTTTTGTAATAGAATAGGGCTTGCTGCAGTGATGCAAGTGGATTGCGTAAGGTAAGCTTGCTGCTACACTATTCACTGCTATATCATCCTATGTGTCTGGAGTTCAGGTTTAAGATAAAAATGTATAACATTATATAAATGTGATATCAGTTTAAGCTTTATGTTTTAAATAATGCCTCGCAATGTATGGGTTCTTTTATTTATTTTTTGCGTTTTTTGAATTTAAGTGAGCTGATGCTATGAAAACAATATTTTCTGTACTCAGAAATGTACACCCTGACTCCTGTCAGTCTGGGTGCTCCTGAGAGTTTAGCAGTCCTCCAGCTCCTCTTCCCCTTCTCCCTCCTCTCCTATAGGCCGTTCTGTTTCAGAGTTTTCTTCATGCACATGCATTTGTTTTCCCCCCCCCCCCTTGTGTCCAGACTGAGCTCTCACTGTGTCAGTGACACAGACAAACATGAGAACTTCAGCCCTGTCGACCTTTCTCAGAAGTGCTCTCCCTCTACAGAGTGGAGCAGGGAAGCGGCTGAAGAACATTTTAGTTATCGAGTTCTTGTCCAGTAATGTCCCCTAAAGTTGCAATTCCCACAGCTCAGCATACTGTTATGTGCCTCCTTTTATGGTTAACAGTGTGATGTCATGGAAACAGAGGCACATGACAGCTGAAGCAGTCAGGAGTGAGGGGGCGGATCACTCCAGATGAAACCGCCCCCTCTTAACTTTCAGACTTGAAGTGGACCGTTACTTAAACCTAACCAGGACTTGAAATGGTCACAGCAAAATCAGAGCAACACATGATAGAAAGAAAAGCTGTTTTATGGTGAGGGCAGTTAGTGCTATTTATTGGTACTATCCCATACTTCCTTTAATTGGTCCATGTATTCTTCTGTTTTCAGAAAAGTAAGAGGAAAGGGCATGAATACACAAATATCAAATATTCCCTTTCTGAACAGACAGGAGACCAGAGCCCTCTTCCTCCTTGTACACCCACACCATTGCCAACACCCACACTTCCAGAGTAAGTAAAATGATTTTGTATATTCTTACAAGTATTTTGGGGATGTGACAATGTTCTGCTCTTTTTTTGTTCGCAGCATAAAGAATGATAATTCTCATCTGTCTGCTTTGTAGTGATTGAGACAATTTAAAATGAGGATTGATCTAAACTGTCTATCTAGACAAAGTGAGGCATTAAGGCTAAACATAAATATTAAATACAAGGCTCAATTCAGAATTCAGTATCGAGAAGAATTATTCTTTGAAAAAGAACCTGTCACTATCAGAATGCGGTTCTGAGTTTTTTTTGCAGGCGGGTTCCAAAGAAGTCTTTTCCATCCTTTCTTCACTATTTGAGTTACTGATCAGATGTAGATCAGTTGTTGAAACACTCAGTATGCACATGCTTGTTCTAGGTCCCTGGCTTTCACTAAGTGATGGAGCATGGATAAGCATGACAACTCTAAATCGTGAACTTGGCAGAGCAAGTCAGCAGTGACAGCTCCAATGATTCTATCTTGTAGTGTTATATTTAAAGCCCAACTCTAGGCTGGAAGTCTGCTTGTGACATCAGAATCTGACAAAAGAACCACAGGCATGACATACGTTAGCACAGCATTCTGTAGATCATAAGCAAAGAAGAGATGATGCAAACGGACTACTCTACAACAAATATTTACCGTATTTTTCGCTCCATAAGACTCACCTGACCATAAGATGCACCTAGGTTTTAGAGACAGAAAACAGGAAAAAAAAATTCTGAACTAATGGACTGCAGACATAGTACAGGAGATGACCAGAGACTACGGACAGCACAGGGATGACCAGAGACTGCGGACAGTACAGGAGATGACTGCTGACCTTTGGGGAGGGGGGGGAGCGGGTTCCTGAATTTGACAGGTACCTGCTCTTACTTCCGTGGAGTTGTTCTTTGATCTTACCTGTTCCTCTATCCAGCCGCGCGCTGTCTTCCCGGCTTCTGTAGTGTGGGCGCTCGGCATGACAGCCGGGTGCCCAGTGCGTATGAGCGAGAAGCACTTGTGCTTTGTGATTGGTCCGGCGGCTTCTGGGATCTGTCATGTGTCCCAGGTACCGCTTTACCATTCACAAAAAGCACTGCTTCTTGCACATGCGCACGTGGCACCTGGCTGTCAAGCCTAGCGCCCACACTACAGAAGCCGGGAAGACAGCGCGCCACTGGATAGAGGAACAGGTAAGGTCAAAGAACAACTCCGCGGAAGTAGGAGCGGGTACCTGTCAAATTCAGGTACCCGCTCCCCACCTCCCCACCTCCCCAAAGGTCAGCAGTCATCTCCATAAGGTCCCGCTGCAGAGCTGAGCAGCCGGCCCGGTATTCTGACACGGCGGCTGTGGAAATACCGGACCAGCTGCTCCATATTCGCTCCATAAGACGCACTGACATTTTCCCCCCTTTTTTGTGGGGAAAAAAGTGTGTCTTATGGAGCGAAAAATACGGTATTTGTGACTCATATGGTCAGAAGAGAATAGAAAGCCCTGCAACATAAAGCAGAATGGTAGGATCACCGGGTATCAAGACCCTGTTCATACCGGACGTGTCGGAGCTGCGCTGATCAGCCTTGCCTTGCTAGTCCATCAAGACTAGGCAATTTTGCTTTGTTTACAGTCAGCTCAGTTCACGCCACTGTGATGTGGAGGTGTACCCTGAAATAGGTAAGACATGCAGTACTTTTTTCCTTCACTGCTGGTGCGATGCAGCATATCTCATTGCTCACTGCACACCACCAACTGTATTCTAACACAGCTACTGGTGTGAACAGGCCTTTATTCTGCAGCACCATCTTACAACAAAATATAAGAAAGGTAAAAATAAAGCGAAGTGTCAATATCATAATTTGGGTTAACATAAAATTTAGATTTAAAATATATTCACACAAAAATGGAGATTGAGACAACGCTACAATGAAAGTTATTTCCATTTTACCGTAAAGATTGTTATAGATGATGTGTGGTCTTTCTAATAAAAGTATACTGATATGAAACTTGCATCCCTTCAAACTTTTTCATATTTGTATAGGGAATCTATTTAAATTGCTATAAGGAGTGATTATTGGAGAATTGCTTGTTATCGATTATACCATAGATGATGTGCCTTGCAGTAAAATAATTTCCTTGAATTCTCAAGGGATCCTGCTGGCCTAAAACCTCCAGCACTAACTATCAGCAGCATTTTCTGTTGTGCCTCTGGGGAGTACAGCAATTGAATTTCCTTACGCCAGTTTGATGTAGCTTGCAGAAATTTAACTCTTTTACCATGTGTAATCTTGGTAGTGTGTCATATTGTCTGACCTCTCATGGTTGAATTTAATGACGGTCTCTGCTAAATGTTGTTTGCTTCCGAACTAGCTACATAACATAAAAACAAAAACATACTTGGGGTTGATTTACTAAATTAGTAGAGTGTGTTCATGGTGCAAAGGGATTGTTTTGCACAGAGACAAATGGGGATTGATTTACCAAAGACAAATAGTCTATGCCCTGCAAGTGCACTTGCTCTAGATTTGAGGAGAAGCTCTGAAATGAGGGGATGCTTTTCTCATTTCTGTCATTCAATCACGTGCAAGCAAAAATGCTGTAATTTCAAATTTTCCTTTAATATGTTTATGTATTCTTTGAAAAGTGAAGCGTTACCTAATTTATTAAGCTCTGGGCCAACTGCATTGGCAGTGCACAGCATATTTGCCTTTAGTAAATCAACCCCTTAGAATGTTAAATGTAGAACTGCACATTAACTTTAGCCCCTTTTTCATTAGAAAGACAGATGGTTCTGATCCTACAAAAATATCCTGCTTTGCCATTAGAATGGAGTTCTTCTTTACAGTAATAGTTAAAAGTGAAGAGGATTACTCATCATCTATGATATACACCTCACCTTAATCCATTGTAAATTCAGGTGCAGTTATCAAGCACCGGTCTTTCTGTAATGGATATCACATACAGACTTGCAGACTATGTAATCCTCTGTCAACGTATTTATGTGTTGATCACTTTGTTTCCATTGTGTGTGATTCCATAACGTAGGAAATAAAAAAAAAAAAAAGTAGAAATTAAAAAATATTTTCTAGATAAGCTATTATTGTGAAGACTGTGTCTTTACAGTAATAAATAAAAGGACTAAATCCTTTTCTGAAGTGCCAATGTCGTGCAACTCATGGCTATTTGCCACCATCTTTTAAATGACATGGTTTGTGCTAGGTACATCGTTTTCTCTTCTTTGAGAAAGTGCCGTGCCTAGCCCGAATCCTGTCAGAATAGAACCTGTTCCTGCTTGCATCTTAATGAAGAATATTATTTTGATCGTGGTGTGTACCATTCCTGTTGCTGGTATAATAGTTTGCTTCCGTGAAAAAGCCAAGCCAGCACCTGAGATGTGATTGTGGAGTGAGGAGCCTGCTCTTACCTTGCGTGGCATGTGAAATATTTTAATATATTTTCACTGAGACGCATAAACTGAAGAAGAAAAAGAGGGAAGATAGACATTGTCACTTCTCTATATTCTACACTTGAAAGAAGAGAAATTGGTGTGTTGTCCCTTTTTAAATGACAAATATTCATACTATCTCCCGAACATACAAGACAGTAGACAAAAACTCATTTAACATGAAATTAAGTTTGTGTTCAAACACAAATGTGATTAAGTACATAAATCAGTGTAGCACTGATCCATTGTGAAAGTGCTCCTCTCTCCCACCACATTATTATTATTATTATTATTATAGTATTTATATAGCGCCAAAGGGTTTGCTCAGCGCTGTACAATAGCAGGGGTACAGAACATGGGACAGGACAGAAACAATACAATACACAAGGGGTTCGAGGGCCCTGCTCTTTCGAGCTTACAATCTAGAAGGGAGGGGAAGTGGAACAAGAGGAAATGGCTGTGGGGAATGAAGTGGTAGGAGGAGTGGAGGAGGTCAGTTGTCAGATGAGGGTGGGGTAGGCCTCCCCGAAGAGGTGGGTCTTCAGGGTGCGCCTGAAGGTGATGAGGGTAGGTGACAGTCTAATGGACTGGGTTAGGGAATTCCAGAGGATGGGGGAGGTCCTGGAGAAATCCTGCAATCGGGCGTGGGAGGAGGAGACCAGGGAGCTAGAGAGTAGGAGGTCTTGTGAGGAGCGAAGGGCACGGGTAGGGTGGTATTTAGGCATCAGGTTGGTTAGGAAGTTTGGGGCGGCGTTGTGAATGGCTTTGTAGGTCAGGGTTAGCAGTTTGAATTTGATGCTTTGGGCAATCGGGAGCCAGTGAAGGCATTGGCAGAGGGGGGTGGCAGATGTGGGGCAGCTGGTGAGGTGGATTAGTCTTGCCGCTGAATTCAGGATCGAGGTGGGGGAGAAGACCATTAAAACACAAAGCAGCGTACCAGATGCCCACACCCCATAATGAAAGCGGTCTCTGTACGCTTGATCTCAATTGTCAAAAGCCATGTTGCTTTTTCTTATAAATAGACTCCAGCAGCATCAGGCAGGCCAATATAACACCATAGGGGAGAAAAGGGAAGACTCCATAGTGTAATAAAATACCAGTACTTTTATTGAAAAGAAAATGAGGTACCTCACAAGATTAAATATATTGAGAGACACAGGCCAAAAAGGGGGTATTTATCTTGTATATGGACTGCTACTGGCTTCACCTTCTAAGTTTTCTTATATGTCTGACTGGGAGAAGGATCTTGGAGCAGACAGAGTGGTTGAAGAATGGCATAAGTGCTTCCTGAGATCCTATTCTGGCATTATGAATGTAACCTTGATGGAAGCCAGTATGAAAATGCTTACGTGATAGTACCTGGTTCCCACACGTTTAGCTAAAATGTATCCGTGTGCTTCTCCCCTCTGTTTTCGAGGATGTCGCATGAGTGAATCCATGTGTCATATCTGGTGGGGAAATGTCCACAGATTCATGGCTTTTGGAATGGCATCTTTGCTCTGTTGCGTAGAGTCACGGGGGTTCCCATTCCTCAGACCCCTTCTTTACTTTGCATCAGCGGAGGATGTTCCTTGACATTTGCAACTCC